AGGTGGTTGTTGCATCAGTAGTCCATGGGTCATGTCTGTAAGGTGGTTGTTGCATCAATAGTCCATGGGTCATGTCTGCAAGGTGGTTGTTGCATCAGTAGTCCATGGGTCATGTCTGTGAGGTGGTTGTTGCATCACCGGTCCATGGGTCATGTCTGTAAGGTGGTTGTTGCATCACTAGTCCATGGGTCATGTCTGTGAGGTGGTTGTTGCATCACCGGTCCATGGGTCATGTCTGTAAGGTGGTTGTTGCATCACTAGTCTATGGGTCATGTCTATGAGGTGGTTTTTGGATCAATATGATGGTTATAAGGTAAAATTAAAAACTGTTTTTTTATTTGGCGAAGGAATCTGTTTTGTTTTTAACCCTTTAATTGAGAATTTCCGGGGTCTTATATTTCTGTAGTAACGTCTGTGCAACTGCCACTTTTTAGTTTTTCACTTTGCTATTGCAAATCAATGAAATGTCTTTGAATGTCACTTAAGCGTCACAGTTTTGTCACCTTGTAACTGTGAACGAATGCCTGCCAAGTGTCAAAGAAGTGTCAGAAAAGTGTACCTTGGTGTGACAATATGACAGAATGTCCTTCAAGTGTCACACAAGTGTCAAACACTGTCAAAAACAAACACCATCGCAATCTCACTGTCACGTAGTGTCCTTCAAGTGTCACACAAGTNACAAGTGTCAAACACTGTCAAAAACAAACACCATCGCAATCTCACTGTCACGTAGTGTCCTTCAAGTGTCACACAAGTGTCAAACACTGTCAAAACCAAACACCATCGCAATCTCACTGTCACGTATCTGTCACAAATGCTGTCCATTTTATTCCGATCACGCATCGTTCCAAAACAAACAGCGCACTTTCAAGAAAATATACATTATCTATCAGTATCTATAATACCTTACAAAGTCGGTTACGATCTTATGTCAGATGAAAGGAATGTCTTGTCAATATCACAAACTGCACGCATGATTACTCACTTTTTGTAACACATGAAGGGCCTGTCAGATTCAAATAGACAATTTTATATTTAGCTAAGTATGTACCTCGTGGATACAGCATTCCGACATTCTCGAACGATGACGGTAAATCGGGTTTCGAGATGTCACTCGTTTTACGATAGCTTGCCGACGTTTTAGGCAGAAAGGGACACGGTACTTCTTTTTGATTGCCATCTGATTGGCTTATTAATTTGTTTTTTTTGCTCCGACGAAGGACTAGCGTCCGAAACGTCAGTAAGTATTTTCATCTTTTCACGGTGTATAATTTACCTTTTGATCATTACTGTTTAATTTTGATTATTATTATTATACTAAAATATCTGAGGAGAAGGTGTTACCTTTGTCATTATGTCTCGCGCTCTACAAGTGCTTCGACCTTAAAGTCTTTTTGGTCAAGCAGGCATGTCACTGAATCGCGGTTCCTGTCATTTGTTCCTGCGACTAACCTATGTTTTATATGTAGGTTCTTAAAGGACCCGTTGTTCCATCACGATAAGGGAGATGAATCCTTCGCTATCTCTTTCCATCTAATTACTATATGAGATACAACATAGGGTAGGAACTGAACATGCTAAAACTGAGTAACCAAGTAAAATATGGCTTTGAGTAGCACATCATTTTTACGCGCCGCCTGTAAATCAGGTCCAAAGCGCGTTTACTATAACTTACTTATGGTGCATCGTTTGGTAAGAAATCGGCATTAGTTCACTGTGAATCATGTGATAAGTAATTATGCGAATTAACTAAAAACACGTCCTTACAAATAGCCTCATCATATATATAGTTATTCGTTATTTGCAGATCAGAAAAAGCAGAGCATTAGTTTAGTAAAAAAACAAGCAGCAAAAACGACCCTATGACAAACCATCAAAGGCCCCGTCCACATGTATCCGGATATTTTTGAAAACGCAYTTTTTTTAATTCCGATTTTTAAATAAATCTTGTCCACACATAGCGTATTCGAATCGTTTTTACCCGTCTTTGGAAAAGTATTCGTTTTCAAGGTAGCCTTGAAACCCTCGATTTCGGGTTATCCTCAGCAGTGCGATTGGTAAAAAAAACAATACAATCGAAAACCACCTCCAAACCTTAAGCCAATCCTTAATGAAATAATACCATTTTTGAAAATATCCGGATACTTGTAGACGGGGCTTGAGTGCATGGTGTTAAATGCAAATGAAGAAAGTGGGTTCTAATAACCAATGAAAAACATTCACGTGTCGGCTTTAGTTCCGGCCGATGATCCTAGGCGTAGGTCGTCGACATCAACAAAATTCAATCACGTCATTGGCTAAAATCGATCACGTGATTTCGTGGTTGTCACGCCCATGCGTAATTCAACGTAATTCAATCCCGAACGATGCAGAAGAAATTGATCTAAAATATTTAAATATCTAGAATATCTACGAAGGGAATTAAGATTGCCCTGAACAACTAATGAGAAACATCGTTCGACATATTATCTCTGGTAACCTTGCGAGTACGTTCCATGCCGGAGTGAAAGCCGTCTCACTGTGGTTCAGTTGAACCTTATGTATAATACATAATGAAAATAAAATAAATAAAGCAGTCAATTTAGTTAACCATTTTTAATAAACCTGTGAGACAACTCATCTGGAGTTATTTCAATTATTTAAAAGTCGGCTTGCATTATTACACAGGATTTTGACGCATTCATACATAAAACTTAATTTTCAAGGCGGTATTTTCATTGTTTTTTAACACTCTGTATTGTAATCCCGTGAGAATCTTTCTGGATTTTTTTTTGTTTTTTACCCGCAATCTAGAGTTTAACATCGTCAAAACCTCTTAGGAGTTTTTTACAGATGTGCGCAAGTGCAAAAAGATGTGATGTGCGCACTTGGACATGAGATACAGTATTTATTAAAGATGATAAGAATGATGAATGATGATGAAATTAACGTGAATGATGCTGTTTATAAATGATGATGATAGCTATTATTAATAACGTTGATGTTGAAAATGACAATGATCTTACCTTAAACATTAATTAACTCAAAACGTTTTTTTCAATTAAGAGTCATATTATTCTTGTCAAAAATTATTGTTTAAACTGACTCTAAACTTGATCATTCACTTTGTGAAATTGGATTTGAAATTGGATTATTTTGCAGTTTTTTCACATTTCCACAGTATTTTCATAGTGCGCAGTTGTTCGTAATGTGCGCCTGTACTCACTGAGATTACCTTGAAGGTCTTGCAGAGACAAGCAGCACGTGGTATAAACATTCTTACTTGTCTTAAATTTTATATAATATTCCTGCACTCCTATGGCTAGTTATATATATATTTATTGCAATATTGCAAGTGCATAGCTTGGCAATGCAATAGCATTTAATATAATTAATGCCATTGTCACCATCATTTTTTCTAAATCTTTCAAATTTAAACTTTTCAATCATGTTCTCTCAAACATTCTGGTAGTACTAATTCGCAAGTAAATCATAAAATTGTCTTCTGTGTTTCCTAACCAACAGATACTTAAATGAAAAAAAAAGGAAAAGAAAAATACTAAAGAACGAAATGAAAAAAAAACAAACATAAAAACAAAATTTCAACTGATGTATTTTTTGCCCTCAATCTATTTTGACTGCATATTTTGATATTTCGATATCTTACGCTTGCTGAAAATATGAGCGATATCAAATAATTGAAATGAAAAACCTTTTATTTAAATTATCTAATATCAAAATTTCCATAAAGATTTAATTCTGAGCTACCAGTTTATTTCTAGGATGCCAACACATATGCAACACAAGAGGCCGTATCATACTACCGGGGGGGGGAATCCGGGAACAAAGTACCAGGGATGCTTGTTGTATCGTAAACTAAGGATACAAAGCTTATTTCTAGGTTGCCAATACATATGCATTCCTCCCTCGAGAGGCTGTATCATACCACTGTCTTGATGAGTTGCCATACATTTAAACTAAGGATACAAAGTTTATTTCTAGGTTGCCAATACATATGCATTCCTCCCTCGAGAGGCTGTATCGTACTACTTGATGAGTTGCAGTACATGTAAACTAAGGATACAAAGATGTAATTCTATTCTACTGAAGCATGGCAGACCTGTGACTCCAACATCTGATCTGGTAAGTGAGAATCATTATATAGAACTGACTGGGTTTAGTGTGTGGGATCCCTGTGATGAGCAGTATATTGGGGGAGGGGTGGGGGGTAAATACCACTGTATTCCTCAATTGCAGATTCATTTACACATGGTCAGCCTCATTTCAGTTTATACATATCTACAAATACTAACAGCAAAGTAAAGAATGCACAACTTCGACAATACAAAGGTTTTGAATTTCCATGGACCTTGACTCGAACACATGAATATTCAAATTAATTCCGAACAATATTGAGGCTATTGAGGCCCTGTTAAACAGAGAATATGAAACTGGAGTATGGTTTAAACACTTCTTATAAACTTGAAAAAGAGGCTAGTTGCCTCAAAAGGCACCTACCCTCATTATGATGTTTTCAGCACCAGTCTTCCACACATCTCACAGAGTTCTGAATACTGTCTGAATCTTACCTGTCAATGAGATAATATCAAATCAAATTGAAACATCCTATTCTGGGTGCCAAGTTGAAAAATAACTTATATAGATCTATCACAATTATTATTTATAAAATAACTGTTATGAATGTCGCGTTCTGATTGGTTTGGAGCACGTGCTTTATGAGAGGACACAGCACGCGCGCGTACTTTGCATTTTATAAAAGAAATAAAAAAACTTGCATGCTGTGCTGTGTGCAGTCATAAAGTACTTGGGGATTGGCAGAACACTCGAGAAATGTCCAGAAGCACTCTGCTACACGTCGTGCTTGTCCTAACACTTCTCTCGTGTTCTGCCAACCCCCGCATGCTTTATGACAGCACAAAGCACGCGCGCGCGTTTTCTATTTCTTCAATACTACTAGTTCTAATGAATAATAAATTGAAATAGAATACAAAATTAAATCTTATTTGAATTTGTTAATTTATCATCTGAAGCTACTGTTTTAATTAATTGTATTAATTATTTATTTATATTATTACATTTTCTTTTTGTCCTGGTGGTAAATAAACTCTATTATTATCATCATTAATTAGTATAGGAAATCGCACGATCTCGAGTACAATTTGGAAATTAATAGACACGAGTAATGTTTTGAAAGTCCTTGTAATTGAGCAAGCCTTTAGGCGAGTGCAATTAAAGAACTTTCAAAAAATTACGAGTGTCTATTAATTACAAATTGTACGAGAAGATCGTGCGATTTTTTGTTGATAGTTCACTCAACAAAATTTCAGTAAAAAATGCGAAGCGAAGCCGTTCATCTTTGTCTATTTGGCGGCCGATTTTCAGTCCATCGCACAACTGAAATGCATAAAAATGATTAGTTCTTACGGCTTTGAAATTTTATTTATGTTTTTTAAGTACAAAATGATAGAAAATAATTGTTTTGACATTGTTTTGGCCATGTTGCCATAGCAACTTAATTTGGTACTCCTAGGGAGTACAATTGACGCTATAATTGTACTCTTCTCAACCAATCAAATTCGAGTAATTTTGTTGAGTATACTATAAATCAATTAACTATTATAAATTACTAAAATACCAACACACACAAAATGACAGTGCACACTGTAAGTTCTTCACAGACAGCAACACCATGATTCATCATGGTGTGTTAGAACACAAAGCACCACCACTATAGTGGACACCTCCATTACCTTACTAGTAGGTACACAAAATTGAAAAAATTGAAAAAATTGAACCAAGAGAGAATCATAAATAAATATAATTTAAATATTATATATAAAACGTCATTTTCTGTTCTACTCGCACCTTAATTTACAATGCGCACAAGAAGCAGTACGTTTTGTCTTAAATGCGCACATGCACAACAGTGTGCACGTCTTAGGGTTTACCTTCTGATGTCTTAGCAAGAAAATTATTTACTAAACTTAGTATTTGTTAATTTTAGAAATGCAATTATTTTTAGCGAAAATTATCATCATTGACCAATTTTTTCGCGCAATTTTCTTAAAATTTTTTTCGAGTAGAAAGCTTCATTACGGTCTTCCTGTGTTAAATTCAATGGCGGACCTTATTCATCGTGGATTGATCGAATTTTTCTTTCTTTCTTTCATTTTTTGTTTTCTTTCTTTATTTCTTTAACTTTCTTTTCTCCGCATTCGACACTCATCTCATTACATATATTTATATTTAGACAGTAAGATTATCAACCCTAGATTACTTTACATAAATACTTGTAGCTTTGCTCCAACTTTCCCCTCAAAAACAGATTAATGTATCTTAATCTATTCTTGCATCAGTAATCCTTACCTTACCACTTAACTTACCGTTCTTCTGTCCGGGGAAATTGCACTTGTAACTAAAGATATAAGATGACTTCTTTCTAGAGCTCTTGAAAAAATCCTTCTTTCTTGCACCGAACCAATAAGATAGATTTTATTTGCGGTCTTCCTGTGGTATAACGCGGTCATCGAATCCAGCGTCGATTCAGTCATGCGTAGTAGTGCCCGTATGCCGGTTTGTCCACGTGACACGTGACAACAAAGACAGACTTGGTTGGTTCTCATTTCGCATAAAAGTGTTTCGTCTGGTTGTAGTCGTCTATGAGGATTCTTCTTTGCCTTCAAAAATCTATCCCGGATCTGATTCCAACCAAACTCTCAGCCTTATCAGGTTGATTTGGAGCCCTGTGAGATCGACTACTAAGCTTCAAAGTCGAAAGATTTGGGCCAGGAATCCAGCTCGTTTGGGCATCTAGCTTTGGGGTGCGGTAAAGGAAAAGGCTTTGTACCCCTTGTGTTACCCCACTCTCCTTAACCAACCATGTCCAAAGCCCTTGCAGCCATTGCTAGGGCTAAATCTGACCAGCTTCTCAAGGTATTTCATAGTTTATCGAACGCTATATCCTATTATGTAACTTGGAGGTGTAGTTAGGTAACTAAGAAGCGAGATCGCTAGGTATTTTCATCGGGTTTTGAAGCGATTGTTTGTCGACCGCGCCGCTTTGTGGCAAAGGAGRTAGAAAGGGGCAAATTTTGGCGAGACACCGCTCATCTGCCACGGAAGTGGCCGTATTACACTTAATTTTTGATCACTTTTCTCTCTAATGGCAAAAGGTTTATAGTATTTAGCAAAATTTTTGGTGATTCGAGGTTTTGCTGAAGAGTATTCGTTAAAAGGACGCTTTAGACAACCGTTGTAGTCTCACGCCAGATGACACCCCTGCTCAGCTCTTTCAATACAAGAGGAAACAATGACGGACCCGCGTTGAAATTTATGCCACTTATCACCATTTATCGTGGCCAAGGATCTTCTTCGACTGCGATTCACAGCTATATGGCTTAGGAATTGAAGCCGTACAAGTATTTGTACGATTGTGGTTGTATTTTCCTTGAGAGGAGAAAGAAAACTTTGGCCTCTTTCCCTTGAACGACAGACATGAAATATTCATATCGTGAACATTGCAATGTGAGGTCATTAGTGATGCTCTGAACTCCATTTTCTTCACCGTCTCAGCTACGATCCAAAACCTCCTTCTCTGGTCGAATGTAGCGATTTTTTCAGTCTTCATTTCCATAATTCAGGTCTGAATCCAACAGATTTTTCAGTCTTTGAAAAAACAACAATCACGCCATCAAAATTTTGAAGTATCGGCAGAAAAATATTCGCTTCATTCCTCAATAAGTTCAAAATATGCCAGGGTTAATATTCTATTCAAGTCTCGAAACGTTTGAAGCTGAATAGCTATGAATTATGATCGAGGGAGAAATGTTTAGATTATGGATTATTGCAGCGGAGTTTGGTGTTATTTTGAAGGCGTAAAGAAAGCCGTACTAGCTGTCCATATTCATTGCTGTTTTGGTACAATAAAGGGGGAAGGGTACTGCAACTGGGTGGGCTTAATAGAAATAATACTTAACTTATCGGCACTTGTATTAGGGCTAAACCCTGTATTTTAACCCTAAAATATTCATATCAAACACTCCTTCCTCAAAAAACCTTCATGAGACTAAAAAAATTCAGTTTTATATTTCGCAATTATTCATGCAGAAACCAGAAAATTATTTGTATTATAAAGTCTTTATATAGACATAGATTTTAAACTCGATAGATAGACCGCATTATTTAGCTTTAAGAGACTGTATTCGGAATACCCCAGTATAATGATTTCAAATCCATTATATTTTAATGTTGTTTAGAATATTTTTAGCGTACTATAAAGGATTGAAAAATCGTGCCTAAATATTCCTCAAACCCTGTCTGAGGTCTATAATTTTTTGTACATTTGTTGTTTCTTACCTTGTAAGTTATTAACAATTTCCATTAAGATTTGTTGTGATGTTGTATCTTGTGGTAAATTTGAGCTTGAAGACTTTAATAAAAATAATATTCCAAAATATGTTTGTTTCCCAAAATACTTGAAATATCGAAAATAAACCTGAACAGTGCTGGTTAAAATAGCTATAAGAATGTAGTGCAACTATAAAATTTCCAAATAGCTGCTATTTCTGCAAAGCCACAAATTTTATTTTAGAATATTTTTATTTTAAAGATCTTTTTTTTTTAACTTATTTTGTCAAGAATGCAGAGTTCCTATTTGAATTAATATTTTTAACAATTTTTCCTTAGTAAAATATTTCTAAATAAATCAAAAATAAATTAATGATAAATTCGTGGCCCTCTTAATGCCTCTAGTTATTACCTTTGTTATTTTAAGACCCTGAGTGTTGGTCTGGCCGAGGCTTGAACCACCAATTCCTGCACACAGACTGATGCTCTTACCAACTGAGCTAACCTTAGGCGGTAATGATAATTTTGTAACTTCCAGTAGACTTGTGACCCATAATTAATTTGTCGTTTTCCCATCTATCAGTTCTTTATTAAAGACCTCTTTTGATATCTGCATAGTTTTTATTCATTTTGTATGATAGCATTATCTTAATAATCTTCCTATAAATTTTACGTTTCATCTTGTGCATAAAAATTATCTAATCTTCATTGTTATTTTTGACTTATCTGATGTATACAGACTCATATTTCTTTAATATTCTAAATCATAGGCATAAAATTTGTGCTAAAATTTTCAATTATTCTCTATGTCAGTGATTGTTCCATTTGTTTGTTTTTCATAACATGTCTCTTATTTGATTGTTTTGATCTTGTAACATTGTTTGAGTGGAACTTTGGACATAATAAGCTATCATGCAGGATATATTGTAACATAATTTTATCTCTGGCATTTATTTAAAACTGTAGAGTGCTTTGATCAACAATAATTCATATATTGTCATTGCGAGGCATCAGCTGCAATAGCATCATGATTAACAGTGCGACATGTATACATATATATATAGAGAGAGAGAGAGAGAGAGAAAGAGAGAGGGAGAGAGAGTTCCAGGGCCTGTTCCAATAAGCTCTCAAAGCTTATTGTACCCTCTTGCTTCATTTAAACACAATTCCTTCTAAGAAGTAATTTAAAAATTTATATTTTGAAAATTTGATTTAAAGAAGAGTTACTATTCTTCGATTGCACGTTACGTCATCCCAGCCTCTCAGGGGAGGGTTGGTGCCATTTAACAAAATATTTCTTATAAGCATCCACTGTTAATGGCACCACAATGGCTGCCATGCTTTTGTCTTTTAACTCTCTTGGGAATGCCTCCAACCCATCAAATTAAACTATGTTGTGTTGTTAGATATTAAAAAATCCAACAACATACTCTTATAGCCGAAATATTTTTTAAAAAACAAATTCATTTGATATTTGATCATTTGCATAAAAGACTAACAAATATTTGATCATAAAATATAATTTAAACATCCTGTAGCAATAATCTATATTGTATATTGTATTTTATAATATTGTATACTTGATGGAAATCTAGAATTTTTTTTTTTGACTCAATCTATGAATTGCCTGCTGAAGGCTGCTCATCTCTATTTTAAACTAAATTAATTAACTTAAGTGGAAATGACAAAAACGGTTTGTATAGAATATTCATGTGTTCCAGTGAAGGTCCTGAAACTTCAAAGTGTTTGTATTCGTGAATATTTTGATATTGAAATTTGGCTAACAGTGAGTAAATAACTCTGAAATCAAAGTGGTATTTTACAAATTTCAAATAGGTATTTTAAGTGATTTGGTTATTTTTCTTTCATTTGCCATACTCCTGAGAAAAAAGTTTGAAGTATTTTAAAGGGGCACTTGGGATGAAAATGGATGAAAATTGGAAATGACTCTAAACTTGGTTAAAGTTATCTATATGGCCCCAATAGTAGCCAAGCAACATATTTTCTTCACAGTAAAAAGTGGCGGATAAAAATTATCAATTTTATTCAGCATCCAAATTGTGAGTAAATGACATCATTTACTCAACCCTATCGTTCTTTTAGCTTTTAAACCAAAATTTATCGACTGAAAGTGGCTCCCAGGCTAAAATTTTCACTAACGTGGTTTTCATAATCATACTTCAATTATTCGGAATTTCAAAAATTTGGGCATTTTCATCCAAGTGCCCCTTTAAAATAATTTTGCTAATGACGACTCTTAAAATTCTAGAGCATTTGCTTAGCCTAGATTCCAGGAGTTGCTCGTTTTGTTATTCTAATTTCTGCTTTTGTTTACCGGTGCTAGAAATGAGGCTAAAGCCGCATACAACTGGTGTTTTAAGAGTCGTCAATAGTTGTTAAGGTATTGAGCTCAAGCGCTACATGTCGTAATAATGAAATGATATGATTCTTTCAATCAGGAATCATCAGATGCAGAAGCTTCTATCTCCAGCCATGATTCGGATGATGAGAGCTACAGTGTACGGAAGTTGAAGAAAGAGCCACAGGAAGGCTTATTTGAAGAAAACGGAGCAAGAAATGGAATGATATCTAGTCAAAGGGATACAGCAGAAACATCACTGAATGGTAGTCAGGGTCACTCTTTAAAAGAAGGTTAGATGAATAATATTAATTCAATAATTTTTATCGGCAGAAAATCTTGTTTGTTTGCTTGTTACTTTCTGGTTTTGTTTTTTTGTTTTTGTCTTTCGTTAGTTGAATGACATGAATTGATAATTGTTAATGAAGAAATTTTTTTTTTTTTTTGATTTTTGTTTTTGATTTTGATTTTTTGTTTGTTTGTTTGTTTGTTTGAATGAAGCTATTTCAGCTCAAAAATTGCGAATTTTTTAACTACTGCTGCAAAAAGTATTTTTAGCAACAAACCATCTGACAAAAAAAGGGAGTTAATAAAAAGGTCAGGTAGTAATGCTATTTTTCATTTTGGCCTTTCATGAGATGATGTCACACTATTAAACTTTTTTGGCATAATGTATCATTCCCATTTAATAACCCTCAGCCAATACTGCGTCGTAAGGAGTGGGGGCTTATATCCTAGAGGCTTAATAATTGTTGGAGTGGAATAAAAAACTTTGAGGCAGCTTTTAAAAACCAGCATTAATCTTCATTAATCTGCTTTTAAAGTCTGGTATGATGAGCGGTGAATATTACATTGTAGATAATTAAGCTAAAATTCAACATTTAAACAAAAAAGTAGTAGAAGTAAATCTGGTTTAGGCCTCTGAGATGTGAAAAATTTACCCCCATTGATTTGAGCTGTGATAATTGAATAAGAAATAAAACTGTTTTTTTTTTCTTTGCTTCATTAAGTAACAATAAGACATGTAAGTTATTTTGTAATAAATCCATAGAAAGTCATTTCTTAATTTTTTCATTCATTTTTCTATCCAGGATCTGAAGATGGTGCACTCGGGCGAGGGTTACCCCCTGGGTACCAGACCTATTCCTCGGACCACAAACAGGAGGTAATCAATTATGCAAAGGAAACCACCGTCAGAGAAGCAGCTCGTAAATACTGTGTTCCTCGTTCGACTGTGCAGGTCTGGTGCAAACATGGCACAGGAGTGAAAAAAGAGAAGAGATCTCCGCTCAGTGGAGGGCGTCGCTTGAGTTACTCCAGTGAAACAGATGATAAATTATTACAATGGGTGATAAAAGAGCAAGAAAATGGAACCCCTGTCACTAAAGATGCTATTCAGCTACAAGCAAGGAGCCTGGTTAGAGATGAGTGTCCAGATTTCAAGGCTTCTAGTGGGTGGGTGGAAAAATTCATGAGCCGTCACAATCTTGCTGTTGCAACAACCATGTCTTCCACTAACACTAATGGTAAGAAAAATAAATATTAGTTTTCAAAGATAACTTGATATTAGAGTTACACTCTATTGCTTTCAAACAATCTTGGAATGTGGTTCAGTTTCTGTACATTTCATCATATTGACCCAATTCACCTTTTCAGTGCTAGCCGTCTTGGAGTATACATTGTTTTAGATTGTGTTATGGTCACCAAAATATTCGGACATTGTTCTTGAATTTCCGTACGAATGTACTGACTTTAAATGAACTATTTACTTGGTTTGTTTAGTTAGTTCCCTAAATACAAGTAAAGATCATTTTTCTAGCTTGATTGAAGCTTTTCTTACTGCTGTCAAGAGAGCTAACTAAAGAAGTCTGTACCTAAATTTTCTCTTTAAAGTCAGTGAATTTGTATGGAAATCCGAGAACGATGTCCGAACGTTTTGGTGACCGTAACACAATTCAAGCTAGCGCCGAAAAGGAGAATTACCTTAACCAGAAACAATTTGTTTGAAGGCAATAACTATAATATCTGCTGTTGGGAGTTCTCTAGTCACATTTTTGCCTTGCTGGTCCTTTTCACCAGTAACATTGAAACCATGATGTTGAGCCAGAAAGGAGGTATGGCTGAGCTAAAACTAATTTTGCCTGTCACCATAACCAGTGACTGAGTAGCCATTATCATTAGCCCCTATTAAATTATATAACTTGATAATACTAAGCAATAAATGTCAACAATTCTTAATTTAATTTTTTTTTTTAGAAGCCATTCCAATTTCTTATGTCGTGGCATCCCCGGCATCAGCTCCCAGTCCAGTGGGAGGTAACCACAGCTCTTACAGCCCCAGAGGTGATGGGCGAAGCTTCACTAGTGAGGACACGAGGAGTGATAGTGGACGGAGTGAGGAGGAAGATGATATGGATGATGGTTCAGCTTCTCTTGAAAATATGGCGGCTCCTATCAGCCAATCAGTTATCAGGGTAGGTTGTGACTTGACATTTAAAACATAAAGCTGAACCAACCATTAAGTTTGTTTGATCCTCAAGCAACCTTTTCGCTGATCTAAATTAGAGCAATACCAAATTAGTTATGAATGCTTCCATTCTTTCTAAACAGGAGCCTCCAAATCTTAATGAAATTCTCAAAACATCTGGATTAAGTGGTTCGGCATCTTCTGGTCTTAAGGATGATGATGATGATGACGGAGAGGGTGATGATGCTGATGGTGATGCTGAAAGAGGTGAATCTGGAGCAGTAAACCCTGAAAGACTCAAAGCATTTAATGTAAGTTTGGTTATTAATTCTTTTGGTCCCAGACGCTTAATATTTTTCCTTCATAAGGGAGATGAAAAGCTAAAGGGAGGAAGGGATGGATGGAACAGTTATTCAGAAAAATGGAAGGAAAGATGGAAGATGAATGAATTGAGAAAGGGGTACCTGTAGATAGCTAATGATTGGATGTAACAACACTGATATTTAATTCAATTCAATTCAATTTACTCACACACTTTAAATAGAAATAAATATAAAAAATCATAATTGTTTATATTTACAAGTTATTATAGATTTTATAGAAAGATATATAAATAAATATAAAATATAAACAGTTACTACAGTGAGTGTGCAGTGATGTTAGAATACACATTATCATATGATCTGTATGGCTCTGCTCGCGCGCTCTAATAAAACCATTGGAAAAAGTCACGTGATGGGGGCCGGACGGCTTTGAGCGAGCAGGGCCGTACGGATCCGGACGGCCCTGCTCGAATCCGCGCACTTTCTCTTCTTAAGCTTTTATTTACTATTTCTTTCTTTCTTCTATTTTCGCTGCGCTCAGTCCGTACGGCATTAGCTCGAGCCAAATRTTTTCCCGTACGGCCCTCCCACTCAGTCAATAAGTACATAATCATTCAACCAGCCATCCATTTATCTAACCATTTATCCATTCTATTGATTTCTTCAGTCTTCAGTCAAAATCAAAATTTTCACCAATGTTTTACCATTTCAGATGTTTGTCAGACTTTTTGTTGATGAGAACTTGGACAGACTTGTTCCAATCTCTAAGCAGCCCAAAGAAAAAATCTTAGCCATCATCCAGTCATGCCAGAGACAGTTTCCAGAGTTCCGTGACAGAGCAAGAAAGAGAATACGAACTTATTTGAAATCCTGCCGAAGACTTAAAAAGTTAAAAGAGCCTTTAAAGCGAACTGCCGATCAAATGGTAAGGATAAAAATAGATTATTGAATAATAAATTAGCAAACTGGGTTTTGAGGAATCAAAGGTAGTGTAGTGGTAGTGCACACTGGGGTTGAAGGTTCAGTTGCTGGACTTGGCATGAGTAGGGTTGTTTAGGTCTCAGCTTTGATTCAAAGTTTTTTCTCTAGGTTTTTCTCCTTCCTTCCTTTATGAGTTACCATGCCCATTTACAACTCAACTCTCTATAAAGGGCATCTCCTTTAGATATATATTTGAATGTCATTGATTGGTCTATTCAAAATATTAAACAGGATGGTGTACAGTGATAGTACAAGTATTACTATTAGTTTAAACAATAGGATGTTTGCATGATGGTGTCATTGACCTCTACTACCAGACTCCCTTGCACATTTTCTTTTGTTCAGTTAATTAGCACCAATTGTCTTACTATTCTCATGAGGGAATACAAGTTTCAATAAGAAAGAAAATTTGCAAAGCGTTACAGTTGTGGCAGTCAAATGATGCCATCATGCAAACATCCTATTTTGGGGCAAAATGTTTTTCACATTGTTGGATGTTGGGATAACAGAAAAGCCCAATTTGACTAAATGTTTCTCTCAATGGCTAATATAGTTTGAGTTCCTATGGACATGTTGGAAGCTCATTTCGCAAAATATGCATACATCCCTTCCCGCTGTTACCTTCCTCCCCTCTACGTCCCTTGGAATCTTGCTATACTGCAGAACAGTACATTGACTTTTCCCATACAGCTCCACTGCAAACCAAATCTTGTTCCAGACAGGAATCTTTCTTTCGAACTCTAAGCAAAACCAGATATTTATTCCTTGATATTCCAACATAAAGTCTATGCAGCCAGCATGATCGCATAGCTAGGAAAAGCTGAAAGAAAATTTTATTTCAATTTCATAGAGCACAAATCCCAATATGTCTGCAGCTCAGATGGCTGAAGTCAATGTAAGTGTGTCTCGTTTTTGTTTTTATTGTTTTAAGAGTCTTAGGGAAGGGGGGAGGAGGGTGGCGGCCAAAACTAAGAATCAGAAAGCAGACAATCTCCAGCCAAAACTGGCACTTATCCAGCCATTCATCAAGATTTGCCATTATTTTTAGCCCAGAGAGGCGTCAAAGATAATATGCAGGAAGCGTAAGAGGAATCCTGATGGCATTACATTTACATTCATTGCTACGAGAGAAAAATGGGATTGCAGTACAACAAAACTCGGTGTAATTTTAGGGTTAATAGTTTTACAGTGAGGTACAAATATGCTATGCTGTTCACTCGTTGAACCATTTTAATTTTGATTTAATAAGCAATGAAATCACACTCTGATTATCTTGTGTTCACAGAATATTCTAGCTTCTGCTTGTGCCAGTGAAGTTGAAAACTCCAAGCGTCCTCGTTTAGAGACAGATTCCCCAGCTACTCCACCAGTAACTACCACAAACATGACTGCAACTTGTATGTCTGTTACATCACCAGGTAATACCTTATGTTCTTTAATACATTTCTCTCCTCTCCTCTCCTCTCCTCTCCTAATCTCTTCTCTCTCCTCTCTACAAACTTTGTTAAAATATATTAAAATTTATATGCACCAATTTTGTTTCTAAAAGATGACACTTGACACTTAAGCTGATAAACTCGTGGTCCTCTCTGAAGGTCTCTAGTTGATTAGGGATGAGACCACCATTAACGTGGTCACCCGACCCATGAAGTCAAAATGATGTAATAACACAATTTTGAATACTTTGGTTTCCATATGTTGATATAATATTTTTGCCCTTAGCAATCAAATCTCGCTCAAGCACCCAGTGCCAACTAAGCCCAAGTGAAATCCAAGCCATACGACACCTAATACAAGGTTACAGAGAGTCTGCAGCATTCCTTTATCGGTCTGCTGATGAACTTGAACAGCTGTTACCTCCTCCTTAGATGGTCAACCATCTGTTTTGTTGTAAAACTGGCGAATTACAAAGCTGTGCATTGGTGGATACTACTAAAATAGAGCCAGACAGGTGAGAGATAGCAAGCCAATAGTTATCAATCTTGGGAATGAATATAAAAGTGGTCGCTTCGAGTTGGCGAATCAACAAGGCTACTCCAAGATACAACAAAGTCAATCCCCGAGTAAATAAATCACTAACAACATTAAGATTTTTGGTTTAGAAAATCAATCAATTCCCATTCATTTTGTAATAAAAATATTTAAAATTTTAATTTATTTACATTCAGTTCGAGAAATTTTTTCACCCCATTAGAATAGCAATAGAATAATAATCATATAATTTTCAAAGCAAGTCTACAGTAGTTCTAAGAGATGTACAGCACTTAATATGGCTTAGATATTTGACCCAAAAAACGTTTGGAATGTTTCAAGCAAAGACTTGAATATTTTGGAGTGTCTTTGTTTTGTTTTGTTCAGTTTTACAGAAAGAATCCCAAATGTGTAACCACTTTTAATGCTTTTATACAAGGATATTTGCTTGCAAAATGAAATATAGAAGTATGCTTGGGCATAAAAGTATTTCGAATGCATAAAATGTGGTCACAGGTTTTGGATTTGATCTGTACATAGTATTCTGGAGATCAAACCAGGAAAAAGCTAAAGTTATATATATATATTAGATAAATATTATTTATGACATAAAATAAGGTTGGCCCAAGAGGATTCATGATTAGCATACACATATTTGTTTATAGAAATTACTCCATTCATTCCAGTTATATCTGTTAAAATAGCTAAATAATTTTAAATTTAAGGTACATCACAATTATTATACCACCTTCGCGTACCATTAAAAACAGGGTATTGCATGGGTTTATTAAATCAGATTCTAAATTGATGTGAATGGAGCATGCAAACATTTCATGACGAAGATTAAGCACCTAAAATTGTAATGGTAGGCAATGGATAATATTAATTAGCTTTGCATTTCTTGAGAGATTTACATAACTTAGTAACTGACTAAGACATTTCGGTGCTTGCAAATTTTTATATCAGTAAGAAAGAAAGTAAGAACTGGAAAATGAACTTTAGTATGACCTACTTGTCCAGCTTTTTTTTTCGTACATGCCAAGTAGAAGGAAAAGTTTTTAGAAGTATGTCTAAACTTTTTCATTGATTTTTGTCTTGTATACCTTTTTCAAAGGCTGTTTGCAGACTGCTTCTAGTATGTTCTTTCTTCTTTCTCATAAGAATATTAGGAATTGCAAGTTTGCAAGGGATTCTGGTAGTTGTAGTATGACACAATAATGCAAACAATATTAACCTGTGAAATAGGTATAAGTCGAATTCCTGATCCACAGTTCCATTTTCTTGTCTTCATTTGACTATTAACATTCACTTTCAGACATAGTTAGACAAGTCGAAATAGGTATCACCCCAAAAATTTCATATCATTACATCCTCTTTCCAACCTTGTACACAATCACTAATGCTGAATATTTCTACAGAAAATATTCAAATTCTCTGAACTCTGCTCTATCAGGTCACATGACCAAACCCCCCCCTTAAACTGAAAATAGTTATCAAAATGAACCCTTGAAATAGAAGTTTTTTTTCTTTTTTCTATTTTAAGGGCTGTGTCACGTGACCTATTGGAGCAATTGGCCTTTTTTTTTATTTACTTATAGAGTACATCTTTTTTTTAGTATAAAATAGTTTCAGCAAGTTTTTTCATTAACAGTTACGATTAAGTTTTCCAAATATTACCTGCGTTTTATGAATCCCATTTGCTTGCCGTAGGCCGTTAAAATTTGGCTTGAATTTAACGGTTTCGTATTTGATTGCCAACGTTTTCTTAACTTTTCACTTTTTGAAGTGAGTTAAACAAATTGTAGTTCAGAGGAATTCTCAATTTAGTCATTACCAGGTTCAGAGATGTTCCAAATATTCCAGTTTAAAATCATTAGTTATGAGATTTTTGTATAGAAAATCGTTTTTGCAGAGGTTCCAATTTCACGAAAGAAAAAGTTGAAATCTCTGTCTGTAGTAAAGATTAAGAGTAATAATTTATGTTTTATAAATTATATCACCGTTTGGGATGTGTAAAGTTAGTGTATAGAATGCCCTTGATGGCTTAAAAGACACTCGAATAAAGTTTTAGATAGTGATGGCTATGGATGATATTTTGACTTGCCTTGTTGACCTAATAGGAGGGTCATGAATTTCTTATTGAGCGAAAGGGGTGAGGGCTACAATAATATTTTCACATTTACTGTGAACCCCCTCCCCCCCCATAAGAAACATAAGAAGCGTATCTTCCCCTGGGGACTTTTCACAACTGAAAGCGAGAGAAAAATAGCTTTACTTCAAAATATATCGTATTTGTTATTAACCCATTTTCTCATTTCATTTTTTTAATGACTTTATCACCACGATAAGCGGACAAATCGCTCAGTTTTGTTAAAACAACAAGAATTGATGGTAAGAAAGGGCTAATACACCACCAACACACTATCCGGATAAGTTTGAAAACGGATTTTTTCTTTATGGCCGGGATTGGCCTTGCGTCCACACGTATCCGGTGAAAACGCAACTTTTACGTGGACGTGAGGAGGGATGAAATCCATTCGAAAACGCTACGTGTGGACGAGGATTTTTTTTTTTTTTTTTGAATATAAACTAATTCTGTTTTCAAAAATCACCGGTTACCCGATGGACGAGGCCTAACTAAGTTCCAAAAAAAATCCAAGTTTTTTCATTCATCGATACTCAATCAATGCAAGTGTATTCTATTTACAAAACCCAGCGCACAAAGAGCAGTCTGACGCACAGTGAAAGAGTTCCGGAAAGCGCGCGAAACGAAAACAGGCGTAAATATGCTGTTGACGTAATCTACATATGCTCGTGGGTTTTGTGTCGCAAGATACTAAAGAGCAGACGTTTCAAGGATAAAAAGTGAAGAGTGTCGTCCTATTTTTGAACCGTATTACGTTACGTCCGCCCACATTCCCGATGGATCCATTTCGATGAGTCAGAAAGGAAGATATTTAAGCAAAATCGTCCTACATAATTGTCTAAACCTACGTTATCATTACAGACTGAACTATTTACGACCTAACGTGGGTAAAACTGACTGTCGTTAAAACTATTACTAGTCCTTACGTAATGTAAGTGAAGTGCTGCGGATATATGCAAGACCACATCTTACCAACAGCGGCACCAAGATACTTGAAAACACTCATCAACAATACCAGACTACTAAAGTTGAGTGTTCATTGAAATGAGCTCGAGGGGCAGCATAGACGCTCAAATAACCCCACAAAGTATCTTGCAACCCACAACGAAAACGTGCTTTCGACGCAATGCGCGTTTTCTCTTATGAAGAACTCCGCAATCCATATGTACTGCAGCCGAGCCGAGTATTTACCGAGCATTCTGCGAAGACACGCTACGATACGACCGATGCCCGAGCATATTCCGAGCATCCTCCGAGAAATCCGGCTGGACCGACCCTGTGATCCAAATTCGAGATTTTGCTCGCATACAGTCTACAGGGTTTCCAACATGCAATAACTGTTGTGTCGAGATTAGTGTAGAAAAGCAGTCTAGTGTCACGACAGTGTAAGAGGGATATTAAGAAAAAAAGTGTCTTCATTTTAGATTCTTAAGTAGATATATATGAACAAAAATAGATAAACCAAATATGTCTTTTTTTTTAAGTGTTTGATAGGGGATTTTAGTCACCTGCGCCGAGGACGTGAGCCCTATAGCAGACAGCGTAACGCGATATCTATATTCATAAAAATTAAATAATCAAACTCAATGACTTTAATGGTTGGTACTGAAGTCAAAAAACAGAACGGAAAAAAAATACTTCGCGAATTTGCGTGGGATTTTGCGCGAAGCGTGTCTCAGGCCTTTTCGTTTAGAAAACCACAGGAACCCCAACCGCCACGAACCGCCGCAAACTTTTTTTTATAATTCTCTGTTTAAAACTCTGTTAAATATTTTGGCATGCATAAAGCGACCCGCCCCACTTCGAATAAAAACATCGCAAATAATCCAAAGACAACATCTCAAATTATTATCCCTAGTGTAAACAAAAACAAAACATCTAACGTGTGTGAATTAACTAAAATAATAAAACAATAAACTTGTAGCAACATAAAATGTTATTATACAGCCTTTGTGTATTACGCCTTGGATTATAAGTCCAAAGTCTAAATCAAGGTACGTCAGTCGGTTGCAATACGTCTACGTCATGTCAGCAACCGAAACTTTTTTGCACTCCTTGGCGATCACTTGGATAGAGGGTTCCAGAGCTCATGAATGCTACGACCTAGAAGCACTGGAGCGAGAGTGGCTCCCAATAATTACAAAATACCTAGATACTCCCGAACTTCTCTAACCCAACCCCCCCCCCCCCCCCTCTTGAATTCTGTAAATAATAATGGGGTTCTTCTATAGCGCATTTCCCAATGTCTCAATGCGCTTTACATTGCAGTGGAGGACTTTACAGGCTGCATACTAAAGGCGCTATGAGCAGCCGTGCAGTTTACAATCACGAGTGATTTATTAGTACATTAGTGTTATGCCTCCAAACTGGGATAGGCTGTTGAACTGGGAGACAATCCCCTAGTCTTACACGAATAATTCAACAGGCTCTTTTATGTTCCCCATTTACTGTTGGTTAGGAAGGGTTGGGAGACAGGGCCTACGGTTTTAAGTCCTTGTCCGAGAAGACTTGAAGGTCTATCCATTTGCAGATGTAATTACAAAGGCAGCACCTTCTCCTCAGTTATTTTAAGACCATGAGTGTTGGTCTGGCTGAGGCTTGAACCACGAACTGAGCTAACCGGGTGGCGGTTAAAGTCTCGTTCCTGGTCACTATTGCAGGCAACTCGAATATATTCTTTTCCATTTCAGACTATTCTTGTCAAAAAAATGATAAATATGATGGAATCATAAAATGTTCGCTTTCTTTCCCCTGAACCACTGCAGTAGTCTCTTCTCCACGCCAATGCTTTGTACTAAATCGTTGTAAAAGCTGACGTTCATAAACTAGTAAAAAAACATACTACGTGTAAGGATCGCTGTTTTGATGTCTATCAGCCAAACTGACTCAAGAAGTTAATCCGCATCAGCACGAGGAGTGGCTATAATCCCGAGTGAATATGAGGAGAAAAAATAGTTTAAATTATTCCGAGACGAAGTGTTGTTCCGCATTCCTGGAGTTTGTTTAGTCGTATGTCACTTCAGCTGATCATGACCAAGTCACGAGTTGTTTGTCGTGGTATTAGTGCGTGTTGCATGCACTGTGATTCTTGGAATACCGGTCAATCTACACATGCTGGGAATGGCTTACCAGGAATCGAGCCAAAGGATTCTGCTCGCATCTTAAAATACATACGTTTAAATGCATGGAATAGGTATTATGTTTCTCTGGCAACAGCTCTGCATCCAGCAAACTGTGGTAGCTACTAGTAAGAATCAGTAATCACTTTGATATCTATAGGAACAACCTAGTTGTATACATTATATTATCAAAATATGCATTACGTTCCCTGGCGAAAAAATGTCTGTTTTTTTCATTCTGAGCGCATACCATTTTGTTGACTTTGACACGTGTGGGTCGCCGGCCGCGCGCGTCAACTTTTCCCGCGTAAAGCCGTCCATGCCAAGTTAGTTTCAACTTTCGCCATAATTTTCTGCATTTTCTGTAAACATCGTAATTACTGAAAATCCGTTTAAAAAAAGTTGGTTTTGATAGGCACACTAGGTTCCCATACCAGGTTTGACAAGTAAGAAACGGTCCGAGTAGTACTGAAGCTAGATGGAAGTCGATATAGTATCACTTCTTACACGATTAACAATTTGATCAACTTATTACACGATGATCAATTTTCTATAATAAACTCATACACTGATGTTAAACAAATAAAGCGATAAGCTCTAATTCACAAGTGGCACCGAAGCATCGGTCAAAAACACTCTGGAACCCCGCAAGTACGACGGGATGGATAGTATACCTCCTGCACTTTGTCACTGCAAATCAGTGTAAACGTGCACTTTCTCGCATGTGGTTTACAGCCTTTCCCCACGTACGAGTCCGCAAAAAACCAAGGTCGATTAATCTACTCGGCTCAGCTAAGCTAAGCTAGTACCCGGATACCCTCAATAGGCCAATAGACTTATACTTAATTCCATCGTTCACTAAAGAGTGGACATCGCGTGCAAAGGCATGATAACAAATCATTCTAGTGTCCTCTCGACTTGTCCTACAAGGGTGTTCTATCCTCGTCTCAGGAACATATAATGAGAAAATAAACTTCATTTTCCTTCACTCATGCGGAGATGTCAAGACCCCCTCTGAGCCAAATAATAAAGAAAAACGCGACAAGAGCCACTTAGTGGATCATAATGATAAGTTTTCATGTGACTGTGAATGGGTTGTAAAGTTATGAATACAATTCATATGTGTTAACGATTTCAGTCATCGGTAATGGGCGGCATTGGTGCCACACCAAAGCAGGATTACCAGGAAAACTGACCTGGACTGGTGCCAAACCAAAATTCCAGGAAGGACTACCCACAGTGGTACCAGTGCGAGACGGTGGAACCTTAATAAGATGAAAAACGAAACTCCTTGTACAGAGGTGGAACTTGCGTTTAATCCTTTAAGAAATTAAAGAAAGCTTGCACCTTATTTATTTTACTGAAGACCCCGACCCACGACCTCCTGCACAGAAGACCAGTACGCTAGCATTCGAAACAACTAGCCGACGGTATCGAATTAAAGTGAATCTGGAAAATGTATTTCACGAACGTCTTAGCTTATCATTATTTACTAGCCATTAGAAATCTGGCTGCATGATAAACCAAACCGATAAGAATTTTTCAAGGAGGTGTTTGTGTCTGTTCTGTTTACCTTAATTTTGTTTTGCTCTGAGACATACCGTGCGGACGGGGGAAAGGGACCGGCGTACAATCACTGTTGCAATCTACTTCCGTTTTGCTAAAAGCATCGTAGAACTTCTCTAAGTAGTTGACTATTCCAGAAAGTTCAATTAAAGTGTATTGGAAATGATAAAAGTCATTTTGGTAATAGTACATGAGTAAAGCACCTCCATAAAGACCACAAAGTAACAAAAGAATTCCCGCTCACATCGGCGCTGTGTGAGGTAAAGCGCGCGGAATGTTGCCTTGTACTCTCGATGACAGATCTCAGGCCGGATAACAGATAAACTAACAAATCACACGTGACGACTGACTAGAAAAGATATGTTCGGAAACCACTGAATACTTGAACCTCAAATGGCATCAAACATTTGGAAATTACTTGAAAAAACAAGAAGCTAGATAAACAAAACAAAGCCATTATCCTGAAAGAATCAACTCGCCACGAAAGCTCGGCTCTCTTCATGTCGGTAAAATAAATATTCTAGCCCTTGTAAGTTTGTATTGCAAGTAACTTTATCCGTCTGGTATTCTTTAACGCTACTCAAAAATTCTGCTGACGCAAAACCCCGTTAACTACCTCTATTTTTCCAAAATGTTTTCTATTTTTACCTAGGGATATGCAGTAATTTGTCAATTGTTTATGTCCTAATCCGTAAGTTTTCACTTCGGCGTCAGAAGTTTTTTAAACTTTACAGAATCGCTTTTTTTCCAGAATGTAACTTGGTCTGTTATCAGTGGCGTTGTACATCGTATATATTACATGTACATACGCGCTGTGTTCGTATTTCGGAACTCAGATTTGAAGTTTTCTTTTGTTATAGGTTATAAAATTCTCCATTCTAGTGAATAGGAGGTTTTTGCGATGAAATTTCGTTAATAAATTTTCACAAAACATTTGCGTATAGGACCAGAAAATAGTTTTAAGTCGTACGGGTCTGCTCGGTTTGTTATCACTTCATCAATTTTAATTTGAACAATTGACTACAAAATAAAGGAGTTTTCCCTGATATTCAAAATTCAAACAATTAAGTCGGCTAAGACTTTAACTTTTCTCAGAATGTTTTAGCTTATTTAAGGAATTAGACAACGCTTTTGTTCGATTATAAATTAGAAAATTTCGCTGTTTGGTTTTCAAAGTTGCAACAAACGACAGACCATTGAGCAATATGTAACGTGACGCTTCCAGTGTACACCACTCAAAAATCATGAATTGTTGAATGATAAACCTATGAAAAACGCGCATAAAGCTAGTATTGCTATACAATTCATAGTCTGTCGTATAGTTTTGCTCTTAGAACGTCAGAAGATTAATGCTTATTTTTTTCACAAAATTTTCAAATTACTTTTGTTTTTCGATCGAGTCAGTAACAAATTTTTTACGAGACAATAGAAAATGAAAAGTTGATGGATAAACGTTGAAAGCGAAATGAAAATATTCATTACATATGAGTTGTAATGTCAAATGAATGGAAAAATATGGTATCGTTTCAGTTTTGCAGTGAAAAGGATGTTGTTATTCCGACTTCCGGTCGAAGATTGCGTGACTTAAGATTTCTAAGAAAGTGTGCGACGCTCAAATGCGTCAGGSGTCATTCATTCACAGTTTGAAAATACCGCAAGTCAAAAAGATTTAACTGTGTAAATTATATTACTTTTGTCTCTCCGCGGGAATAATCCGAGAAAAATTTAAATGTTGTTTCATAAACTTTGTAAATTTATAATCAGCATTGATCTACATAAACAATACTCTTCAATATTAGTGATTATATAGGTTGAGTTCAATGTAACTTGAAATAGGAGTAAAGTATTAAGGTATATAGTTTGTCTAAACTTCAAGGGGCGGTACACTCCTGGCATACTAGATTGTTTACTTATGAATGTAGAGGTAGCAAGGACGCTTATCAATCTATTATAGTAATTGCATTTCATATTCTCACCGGAAATGTATCATGAACATGGTATGTTCTTGTGGATTCCCACGCTCCTTTCGGAGAGATAAGGTTTTGTATAGGGACTGTAGGGGTAATAACTTACTTCCCAAAATAACATTGTTTGTTTTGAAATATTTTTCTCGCACAAATACTTTCACGATTTCGATTTTTTTCACGCCTCAGTCTCCAACTGAAAAATTCCTATTCCAAAATCTGTTCCACCCTTCAGATCCTCGTCCATCCTTCCATTACTTCAAGCATTGATGCTTCACACTCTAAAAGTGCACAACATAGAGCCTCTTGTAAAAAATAAACCCTTACTGAGATAGTCCCTTGAGGCAAGCATTGAAATCAATTGAATAATTCTAGATTAGGTCGAGTTCGATTTGCTTTAACACGGTTGTGTGAAGCTACTCAATATCCTTGATTGAAGTTTAATATCATTTGGATTTGAATAATAAATMGAATGAATTGTCTCAAAGTTCCCCTCCCTCTTTCCTTCCTCAGTTTTAATTTATTGAATACCACAGAATCCAACCAGAATATAACGATGAAGCTAGTCTCCGATATATATCCTGCTAAAATTTCAGTTTTCTCATATTCAGACAGTTCTTCTATTGCAGAGACAAAAACCAGACAGTACCTGGGGATCTTTATTTCATCCAAGAATTGTCCAAATGGTCACATCCATGATAGTTTCTCAACATTAACAACGTTTGCTTAAAGTCTGCTACAGATCATTCAAAATATTCTGATTAGCAGAGAAATTTTTTTTCTTTGTATTTTATCCTTGGTTTTTTCTTATAAAGTCAGGATACAAAAGAATAGAAGCGAAGGAAATAAACAATCTATTCGTAGCTCACAAATTTGATAAGCCAAATAGGCACTAAATGTCCTTTTAAATTGAATTATTATTAAGCTGAAAAATCTTCTCTAGTTATTTCAAACGCGAGATAAACAGTGACCTCGGTCTAAGGGACATCGATTCCCTATGAATTTTACACTTCCTTCCAAAGCCCATAGGCTTACCATCGTTTTACATAGTAAAATACAGTATTGCGGATTTGGAGCCAAAATCGAGTCCAAACCTTGATTATATACAGGCCCGTAGCTAAGGGGGGTGCAGGGGGTGCGTTCGCACCCCCCACGCGAGCTTAAGGTCCGCTTTTTAAGCAAGTGAGATTTTGGCTGGTATGATATTTTCACGTAAAACTAAGTAAAAAATAAAGTATATGGTTGGTCCACTTTTTGTAAATTAGCACCCCCCCAACAAAAATCCTAGCTACGGGCCTGATATATCTATGAGTTTACAGCAATAAAGAGCTTACATTATCTATCTCTATCGACTTATTAGTAACTCGCTGCTAAATGTATGCAAATTCATCACAATTGTCTTTTCGCGCGCTTTCACAAAATTATGTAAATTATATCCATTCATACGATCTTCTGGATCGAAAATGACTGCGTTCTACAATTATATCACCAACTAACTGAATTAACATCGATTCTCTACGCCTAAATACATCGGATTAAGTGAAATTTAGAGAAATCGGAGCAAAAATATATGATCTTGAAGCATTTTCCTGAAACTGATTGTAGTACACGTAGCAATGTGATGCAAATCAGTCGTCCATCGAAGGCAATATCTTACAACGATTACTGAATGTAATCAAAAGCTTTCTAATCAGTTAGAATTTAGTCATATATTTTCTGAGATATTACTTACTTTGTATTAAGTCCACATATATATATCTGAATGTGATTATTTACAGTGAGCATTGTCCTAGTAGAATATTGCGGTACGTCTGAATTACGTACGGTAACTTGTCGATTTCAGACATCCATTTCAAATTTTTTGGTGTGTTAACGACGATAGTTTGTTTAATAACTCTTTATTTCTTTTATTTTCTTTCTCCAATTCTTTTCGTAGCCTTGCTTCGTCCATTTTCAGCTGTTCGACATAGTCCTTGGCTTTTTTGAGAATCACCACTTTGGGAGATCGTTCGTTGCTTTCGATCTCTGGCACCTCTGCTCTCAGTTGATGAAAACTTGTCTTGAGATCATTCCTTCGTTTCCGCTCAAGAACATTGTGAGTCGCTCTTTTACTCTCGCTGTCTTCCTCGTCCGATCCACTGCTCGACTGCTTTTTCACTTCTCGAAATTTCGTATGAGTCGAATGCGATTTAGCTCTGGCAGCAACAGGTTTCAGACGTTTCAATGGGGGTTCTTCCGTGGAGCTTAGAGATAGTTTTCTTTTGGGCTTTTCGATCGTTACTACGTCGATTTCCTCATCCTCCTCTTCTATGAATGAAAATTTAGAAAATATTATCAGTGGCGCGAAAATAAAATAACTGAGGGTAATCGTAGCGTATCGCAAATGATATAACCAGTTAGATAAATCATATGAGTTCTTAATGGGTAGAAAATCAATTTAAAACGCTAAACCCGGCAATAATAGAAGGATTACTTGTCTTGATCATGCCAACAATGTAAGAAAAATCTACTCACCGGAGTCGCTGGAGTGCGAACTGCAAATGCTTTGAGTGTCGTTCATCGGGTATGGGAAAACGGTAGTTGGATCTACACAATCTGAGCTGACATATTCAACCGGTGGTGGAGTCGAGCAAGGTGTATCGTATAAATCATCGGGGCAGGAAAGTGCTTTGCAGAGATCGAGTGACTCATACGCAAGGCTGTTCCACATACAGTCTTGAATCAACTTTGATTTGAGATTCGCACTGTTAGTCAAAGGATTCTTGTCCGATTGCACCACTGGAGGGGATTCATCATCGTCAAGTATCTGGGAAACTATTTGTAGAGTGTCAGCCACGGAGGAACTGTTTATGTGGATTGGCGAAGGACAAGTTGTACGGGAAGGAGAGCGAGGTGGTGTTGGTAAAAGTTCGAACTTCTTCCAAATATCCATAGTTGGAACGGTTGAACTGTAATTCTCTGAATCATTTCCATCATCTTTTTCAGTGTGAAAGAAAAACGGCACGTCCTGTTCATTTTCCAAGCCAAATGGCCGGTTGTATTCAACACAAACTGCCATCTAACAAACACAAAGAAAGATTCAAACTGAAAGTGAGAAAACGGAAATACGACCGGCTTACAGAAGAGGACCCCTCCTCCAAAATCTCAAACAGTTTGGCTCTGAAATAGATTGGCGCTTTAGAATGTTTATCAACTTCACTAAAGATCCGTAAGAGGCCCATTAAGAAATATCTAATCAAAGTAATTCCAAGACTTATTTTCTTGGCTATTTATCGGTCCATTTAAACCTGTAATTAATTCTAAGCTTGCGATTGATGAATGAATGAAGAACGTCCACGTTAAACAGCAAACAAGCGTAAGCGTAAACAATACTACAGCGTATGGAATGAAGTTAGAAGTTTGTGGTACATACCTTGAAAAGCTGCTACAGGGCAGTCGGGCTGCTTGCCTGTATATTCTAGCGAGTCGTTGAAAACTCAACTACCTTCCAAAATGTGCAGCGTGAAAGAGGTTGAGCTCTTACATAAATCCAAATTTTAATTCTGATTTGCAAACATTGGACTTTACAAAATGATCAATATTTAAGCCAATCACAAAGCGAGATAGGCCATTACCATGGAGACGATCCGCCTTTCACGACCTTGCACGTGACAATGTATTGCCAATAGCTGACCGTCAAGCTATGTCATTATGAATGCTATAAGCTCGTAGGTATTTTAATATTTTCAAATAGTATCCAAAAATAGCAATATTTAAGCGCGGTAGTCAGGCTCGATGTTTGGAAAAATATTGAGTATTTGAGATAAATCATTTAAAAGTCATTTAGAGAATTTCATTGAGAAGCCATAAATATAGTAGTGTTTTATTTTGCATTTGTAAAACTACCCGTTACGCAACCCTTGAATCCCTCAAGGGAAATTTCTCTATGTTTTGAAATGTTTTCATTTTTTTTGTGAGCTTTTTCTCTCCGTGCTGAAATTCGCTCTAGGACAACCTCAACTCAAAGCAAGTCAACACTGTCCTTCGCAATGTAAGAGAACCGATTTGAAGAACATGAAGTGTGTGGCTGAGATTGAAAACCAAATACATCGTCCATTAACCAGCTGTTGCCCAGGTGGATAAAAATTGCTGTTCTATGCATGAACGTTTTAATACAATACGGCGTTAAACTTCAGCTCACAGTGCACACAGCTCGGTCTATTTTTCAATCTTAACCAAGCGGAAATGCTTTAATTGGAGCTAGTGTGGCCTGAGTAGATTAAGGCTTCTAGCTTAGAATGATGAGATTTGGCTCTAGTACTCAATTATTCACTAAAACATTAGCTTGTCAGTGTTCATACATTCTTCCTATTGTCATTACACAATATAGACGCTGACAACCAAAGAACCATAAGAAAAAGAGGGCCAAAAACTTGTACAAACTTAAGAAAAACCAGTGCAATATCGGTTCCCGGCGGAGAATTGTATCTGCAGAGGAATGACTATTAGTTGACCACAATTTGTTATCGTAAGGGAAACATTTTTAATGTTTTAGTTCGAAAGGAATTAGAGTTTTTGAATTTGTTGATCTTCGATAAACAACAGTCTAATTTATTTGTGTTTGCTTTTTGGTGCTTTCAAACAACGGAAACTGCGCCCATTTCTCAGAAAAATGGTGTACGACAACGAGACGGTTGTAAAAACCACATATACCCGGTGTGCGCACGATGGCTTCAGGTCAAAAGGTCATTTCATAGATAGAAAGTCATCCCATCCACTTGAAATGCGGCGAGTGCGAAAGAAACTCGAGATAAGAACTGTCCTCTTGTAAAAATAATATCAAACTTCATTAGTTTTAAGCCACTTATCAAGAAGAAATAAAAGAATCTTAAAATTTCAATGTTAACTCACAAGTGACCACAAAATATTTCATGTAAAATGCCTTTTTCGGTTTTTGAAAAACAAAATTATAACACCGAAGTTCATCCATATTAGTTATCAAAAGTCTGGAGATTTAAAGCATTCTTGTCTGACATATATATTTGATTATATACAAAAGGTGTTAAGATTTCACCTGACAAAAACAAGCGTTGATGTTTCTGGCTTGTATTATTTATCATTTTTTAGTTTACTCTTTCTCGTAACCCATTGTTAGTTTTAGATTCCATATTCTTTCAGAAAGCTAATTCAAGAGTGGCTCAATGATGAAAAAACTAAAAATATTATTGCACAGAATGAATGAATAAACGACCAGTCTCCAGACATCTTTACTATAATTGACTTATAATTAAATCTCCTGTACTATGACGGGCATTATCTTGAACAGAACCCTAAACTGCGTTACACATTATTTAAGACATAAACATTGTGGCTTTATCAAAATAAACAGCCAGCTTTGCTTAAAGTTTTGAACTAAACGTAGGAGTCGAGTAAGACTGTATTTCCTTAAAGCAAGGGTTCTACCGTACATTGCTGAAGCCTTTTGGAGCGAGTTTTCCCCTGATTCGCTGTAGCTGAGCGGACGGAAGTTAATCCCCAGAGCCACTTGGATACCGACACAAATGCAGGAAATTTTCCCGCATTCCTCGAATTCCTATTGACGGTTCCAGGATTATTAACCACTAGAGGCGACAAAATTATGGCAAGTAGCTGTCAACGAATTGTTTGTTTTAATCCTATATTTTGAAGGCGATTCAAAACAGTATGCCTTTTTATTATGCGATATTTAATATACATAAACATTTATCGATCAATTCATAACAGTAACATTAAATAATAATATATTTGAAAGTTCGAGGATTCATCCTTTTTAGCCGATACCAACGGCAAAAAATGTCAGCATTAGTTTTCAGACACCAGTATCCTCAGTTTTGAAATAAACCCGAAAACCCTAGGCTGGTCTCCTAGTTTAAAATAATTTGACAAACTTGTAGTTTACGAACAGGAATTTTTAGAGACGTGCACTCAGACTGAGTGTTTAGAATTCGTGTGAACTACTAAAATACGTGTTTTACACTAAAACGTTTGCTAATTATTAATTAATTGAGAAAAATTTCTTTAGGAAATTTGCTAGTAAAAGCAGCCCCCTCAAACCTTTTTGGTGACTGACCACATATCCTGGTATTTAGTGCCCAACAGTTTTTATGGGGTTCGAGCAATAGATTATAAACTGTCGTAATCAATTGTGGACGAAGCACTCTCTGATCTGAAGTCATCACGGTCTTATGACTCGAGTTCCAAGACAGTATAGGATTATATATTTTCAAAAATTGCGCGCTTGTCGAACTTTGTTTGATACTAAGCATATATACACGGTAAAGAATATAAATCAGCAAACAACGTTATTGAATTTCAAGGCTCTGTTGACATAACCTAATGGGATGATAATTTGATCCATAGCAACAGCTTCATCATGCTAAGGTGAAAGAAAAGTGGTTCTGGCTCCTTATGATGGTTCCACTCAGAAACCACACAAATTATGCCTACTAGATTCCAATCAAATCGTAATTAACTTTGTCATAACTTCTTTACATATTTGATTCGTTAAAGTTTACTTAGAGATAATACTGTAAAAGCGTCCTCAAAGAAAACAAAATAAAGAGAAACCTCAAAATTAATCCAGTTCAATCAATGGGGCAGTTATTTTTCCATTGTTTGGGGCTAATAGTTTTAGCATTTAGTATCATATGACAGTGAACATAGCTAATGGATAGTCTTAAATTTATATATGATTTAATTTCCGTAAAGATATCTAATATCTCAGCATTTCGCTTTCCATGTCTTGGTGTATGTTTTTCCGCTTATTGTTATTTTGGGTTTTATATTCTAATCCTTTTGTCGTCTTGTTTCTGTCCTCCTATAGACTCCTATTGTTGTTTTTTCTCTGTTTGTTGTCAGATTCAAAGATTGTCAAGGTTATTTGTGGTAATTATTACGGGTTGCGCAATTATCCTCCCTTCTAGTCAATAGGAATACGACTAATAGTTATTCAACGGCATCGCCGCAAACTTTTGCAATGGCATTACGCTTCATGATGTATGCCTACATGCACAACCAACAATATAAACCCCTAATTTAAGATTTTTTTTAAGAGCGAGAATCCTCATTAGACAAACGGTAGTTGATTTTGAATGCATGTTGTTCAACTAATAATTTCTCTATTTTGCAGCAAAAATTTTGTGCTCAACTGACATTTGGTTCGTTAAGATATCCCGCAATGCGTAAAATCTGATGTTTACCGTTTTGCTCATTGTTCCAAACCCGTAGATCGTTTTGGAGCATCCAAGTTGGATTAGGTATTAAGTGAATTTTTATATAGTCTTTTGCGGGTGTACGGTCAGTGCACGCTTCAACGGCTCTGCGCTGAGTTTTTAATCGGGTTCTGCGTTAGTTCAACCGTTTTTCCAGGGCGACGCTATTTGCCGACAAAAAAAACGCCTAACGAGAAAAATAAAATAAATAAATGACTGATATAACGCCAAAAAAAAAAAAAACTTTTCTCTTTGAATATCTAGATGTTTAGTTTTTGTTCTTCAGTATTAAATCATGTGCATAGACTTAAATTAGGCGGAGAGTCTGTATGCAGAAGTCAGTGATCGTTTGCATAACTGCGGTAAAATGGCATCGAAGGTCAAGCCATTGCAATAACTCAAATCCCCTTGGATTTGAGAAGGTTTTAATTTTGATTGAGGGGGAAAAGTGACAAATAACACACTTTGTTCTAGAATAAGTTCTGGTAATGAATCGTCGCTTGTATGACCTCATAAATAGTGTGTAGAGTAGATAGTTTTTGATGACTTTTGTCACTCCTGAGAAAGGACTCCTCATTAACACTGTTGAATTACCATACATGCTCCACAACCTGAACAAAGGTTGTTTTTACGCAATAACCAGCTAATAATCAATACACAATGCATCTTTTATGAAGTTGAGTCACCGGTAAATAAACAGGTTATGGCGTTATAAACGGTACCTGTTTTTCCCCGGGGTTAAACTGTGTTATCTTGAACGACATTTGCATGACGTTCCACACGGACAAAAGGTACATTTCCTGAACCGTAGATCCGCTTAGCCGACTGGTTGACCGACACCCTGGGTGGGCAAGCAGGGGGCTTGTACTTCATTGCTTTTGCTAAGTAAAACGGGGTTACGGCCCGAGGGAACGAGTAAAGAAAAGTTTAAGTATAACGGAAGGTCGGTCATGTAGTGATAGCTTAACAATGTGAAAAATGAGTTTAGGTTTCTTTTACTTTGCCGGTGCTTTTTATCCTGTGCACGCGTGCTTCGCAGCCTGCAAAGTGAACTCTACTATTTCCATAACTCAGCGAGAGACAATTGATAAGTTTGCAGGGGGAAGGATGGGGAGGAGAGCTATTATAAGACGTGCCTCTGCTAGTCGTGTTCATTGCCTTTTTTCTTTTTGCCAATGCGTATTTTGTTATATTTTTCTTGGTTTCTGACTAATAAGTGCTAGATATTTGTACTACTGCTACTGCTACTGCTACTGCTACTGCTACTGCTACTGCTACTGCTACTGCTACTGCTACTGCTACANACTGCTACTGCTACTGCTACTGCTACTGCTACTGCTACTGCTACTGCTACTGCTACTGCTGGATGTAATCACTGCCGGTGAAGAACCTTGACTTATTTCCGGTTGTCACGTTGTCACATCAAACTTAATTCTCGGACTTAATCGTTCTTGAATTTCCTAAACTTCTCAAATCGATACCTCGTACTTGGAAATGTTTTAAAGCTCTGTGAGATTTTTCCCCCCTATTATTTATTTTTAAAGAAATGAAACTGTTTTTGTTATGAAATTAAGACAATAAGTTTTACCAGGAGAAAAAATAAAAGTAGTTGGTTTTCTCTTGGTTTTACAACGCGAAAGTTATCGATGAATGAAAAAAATCATGATTGCGAAATTCTGATGAGGAAGATTTTCATGCAATTTTCGCATGTTTTTTATAAAAAAATAAAAACTCAACGCCCATTTTGCTAGAGTTTTATATCACATTATAAAATTATAAACGAAGCATTCCGTGCTTCGTCGTTAAACAATGACGAAACACGCTAAATATTTATCATTTTAAGTGGTCAGGTAAAAATAGATTCATTCGAGAAATTGATACCATAAGAGATTTTACAATTAATGGTTTTAATCGAAAGATTTTACATTAATTTTATCAAAACAAAGGAAATGGAATTGGGTTTTTTTCCTTGTAAGTTTGATTTTAAAGTTGAGTTTTTTTCCAGATTATTTTTAAGTGAGCGTGATCAGGTGCCAGAATGAATTTAAGTTTTGGTCCATTGCCGGTGGACTGCGCAACAATTTTATGCTATGCAGGCATCGATCTATATCGCCTCCAAGTCTGGAAGGTCAAGAAGACACACGATCGAGATGAAACGCACATGGCCTTCTTCGTTGCTTTTGTTTTAAAATCTGCTGAAAAATATCAGCTGTTAGTTGGGATACACTTGGATGATTCAGTTGTTTGCACATTCAGGTCATGCTCCTCAACTCCGAAGCCCTTGGTTTGCTAAATTTCTTGGAAACAACTAGAATAAATGAGCCGTTGACTCTTTCAAGTGCTTGTGAGGGAGAGGGTTCCCTTTTTTGGTCTAAATCAAGTATAAATATTGATGTAAAATGAAGTAAAGTTTAGGTTAATTTTGTCAAAGTTATTAGACAAACACTCAGGATTTTCTTGACAAACAAAACCGTACTTTTAAATTGGAAATCATTCCGACACATCACACCACAGACAGAGAGAGCAGAGTATACCGAGTTTTCGTTTACATTTTTTGAAGCTTTATTCATTTATAAAGATTGTCTGACCACCGGGAGGGTCTTCCTGTTTAATACTCCCCGCGAAAAATGATGAACCACAAAAAATCTATATATGATTATTTTCAACTGAAAAGCAGGTATTTCATAAGTGCGAGGAAAATTTACATGATCTTCTTTGCCGCTCAAGGCAATCGGCCTTCCGCTCTCACAAACTCCCTATCCGCGTTGCAGTTCTCCTTTCTAACAGGTGTGAGATAAGACTTTAGAATACATACCGTATAACCGTGAAAAGCTTTGTAAAAAAGTGTACAAATTAGTAAGCTCAGTAGTCCTCAGTCAGAGTTACAAAACCTTTCAAATTTGTTAGTTAACTTTTTCATGGATATATGTCATGTACTCTAGCTTGAAACATGTGAAGTAAAAGAGCAAGGTAAATCTTGAGTTATGATTAATTAACGCTTGTGTTGCAGGTTTTGACACAAACATTTTAACCTTTCAAGTCAAGAGTTTATCGCAACTCAATAAACAAGAGGTTATGGTCTCTTGAACATAAACTTGAACTGTCAGATTGTGCAACATGAAATTCAATTCTTGCTCCATTGGCTACGCGCACTGTTACAGTTTCCCGCTGTCAATAGTACTTTGTTTATATCAGTCCACGCCCTGTTCTTGTGTTTTTCAAGTTCAGTAGCTACGGTATTTGAACCACATGGAATAATTACTGTCTCGATAAGATGATTAATTAGACCCTCGGGTTTTGTTACCGCTTGGACAGTCAGTTCCAAGAAAGACGAATCTTAGATAGTCATTCTGTCTGTTCTCTTGCGTTCATGCGTGGTCAGAGATGGAAATGTGGTGGCCGCATCGTGTGATGGGATGTGAAGATGTGGAAACCACGTGCGGGCTATGGGTAAAAAACAAATACTGAAACACTGCATCTTACAACTGACTGACTGACTGACTGACTGACTGACTGACTGACTGACTGACTGACTGACTGACTGACTGACTGACTGACTGACTGACTGACTGACTCACTTTCTTAGCCGTTAATTTAACGCTCAGCTGAAAAAAGAAAAAGCTCGTCTCTCACGTGTCTACGGTGGCCCACAAGGGCAATACAAAAACATTAAACATAGTACAAATATATCAATGTCAATTTCAGCACACAGATATGCATGCCAGACAGTAAAAATATTTCCCAATATCAAAATATGATTCCGAGTACAAAAATATTTCCCAGTACAAAAATATTTCCCAGTACAAAAAGATTTCCCAGTACAAAAAGATTTCCCAGTACAAAACGATTTCCCAGTACAAAAAGATTTCCCAGTACAAAAATGTTTCCCAGTACAAAAATATTTTCCAGTACGCCTCGTGGATCTACACTACTTTGACAATGTGATGACACAATTTATCGTCAATATTAGTTGAATCCGGTTCATATCAGTCACGCGCGCGGGTTATAGTTGATTTCATTGTAAATAGAGATTATCACATGTTAAGAACTTGATATCGTTTTTATTCACGAGTTTTTCCGTATCATATCGCGAACGAGCGAGTCCTCTTATTACACATTTAGGCTCGATATATAACACACACAAAATGTTTTATTGTCTTAAATATCCTTAACCGACTTACACCATTTCAAAATGTTAAAGAATTATACGTTTCCAATTCAATATCATTCAAGATATTAAAGCTTAATTAAAAATGTAAGAAGCAGCACAAAATTCATCTTGAATTTGATAGAAATAAACACTAAATAGAGATTGATCTCGTCACTCCTGACTACTATCGTAGTCAAGTTACAGTTACAGTTTACCGTGAAGTGATATCGTATCACTTCACTGATATGGTTTTTATTCATGGCTTTATTTCACGGATATCGAGCTTAAATGTGTAATAAAGGGTTATCCTTTATACTGATTTGGAACTTTAGAGTTGTATTTTTTGAGGACAACCATGTGAGTACGATGTACCAACTTCCGGTGAATTTTAATGTAGAGATGTCACAAAACTCATTTGTCAATCATGACGATCATGAATCACGTTGCAAGGTACAGGGAGTTTACAAACTTTATTGATTCTTCCCGTAAGGGCTTTTCCGAAAGGAGAGAAAAATTACGTAAGGGAGACGTGTTTCATTGATGTAGCATAAATAAATGTAAATGTTGTAAGGCGTCTAAACCTCTAAGAAGTAAAATTTCGTTGAGAGTCTTTTTTGTCTTAGGTCATGAAAGGTCAAACAATAATAGAAAGCTGTATTACAGTCAAAACACCTCAAGCGTGAACACGTAGAGATCATTAATGGCTTTACTAGTATTTTTGGATTCTTGATTTCATTATTCGATTCGGTTTGAAAACGCTCTAGGGCAAAATTGCCTTGGGCTTCTTCTTCTTCTTCTTCTTCTTTTCTTTTTTTGCCTCTGACCTACATCAAGTGGAGGTAGTAAAATAATAAACTGTAAAAGTAGTACGTGGTTGCAACAGACTAATATAAACACTAGCCGGTCTTTGTTATCAGTTGCGGCCTCTTTGCAATTGACGTTTCCGGGTCTTGCATTATATTCTCCAGTTTTGCTCTTTTAAAATTGTGAAAAAATGAGTTATAACTTAACTTATACAACATAAATTTATTATCGATTATTGATTTTTATATCAGAAGATGAAAACGTCTTTGCAGAAAACAACAGAAACAGTATATAACAGCTGAGATACGCCGATCGGACCCTAACAGCTCAACAACGAAGAAGAAAGCACACCTTTGCCATGTTTTTATATATCTATTCCCAATACGTTTTTTATAGATTATGAAAACATACATTCCCAGGTTTGCTTTTTCGTTTTTCGCCCTCTCCAGTAAAATACTCTCTCCTCATATTTGATACAATAACATAACAAGGCCATTTGGTGATTGTGAATTTTCACAGCCGCAGCATGTGGATACTCTTGCATCACAAGTTTTCAACAAGGAAACCTCGAAAGAGCCAGAGGATGGATTGGGTCTATATCGCTCTTTTCGTGTTTGACCTTCAGGTACAAGCCCAAGGCAATTTTGCCGTCGAGCGTTTTCAAACCCAACAAGAAATAGTGTCTTGTTAATTACAAGTTGACAGTTGACATTTTGATGATGTACATTAAGAAGAAGAAAAACAGAAATACACAGTTAACATCTACATGAATAATAATTTTGCCTGAAATCGATACGAAATGTATTCCTTATTTGTACTTTTTATTCTATATGTATGTTCATTCCGCTATTTCGCTATTTCGCTATTTCGCTTTTTTGCGGTTTAGGAACACCCAACAAACCGAAAAGGTTTGCCCGGGGTTTTCAAATCCACCGCTGTTTTTTTGACAGGTTCTGTTTTATATCAAGGAGAGCCGATTTTCTAGCTTGACCCCGGTTATGTCATGCATTTTCTCTTGTAAAATACGTCCAATAGCGTACATTCAACTCAAAAAGTACGGTGGTTTTTTTCAATAGAATTCAATCTAAACTATATGATACAGTTCGTGAATAGTTGAATTAACTGAATCCACTTCTGTTTTTTACCTAKATAGTCATTATTTTGAGAAAAGATCCAAAAACCGTGTTTTTGAGACATAATTTGTATGGGCTCACATGAGGGGGCGTGAGCTTGAAATCGTAGCTGACCAAATGTTAACAGATTTTTTCTGATGGAAGCCTATGACTGTGATAATTTCCTTGTTAGCGTTTGAGAATACACTAGTAGTTTGGGACGGAAAAAATATTGTATTGCTAAGAAGATGCGCAATCTTTTGGACTCGAAGATTGAATCCTACAAGTTTTCATCATTTTCAGAAGAGGACATTGTACTATACTGAGTAGTCATACGCCTTCGATGCATTACGATAGTACTCAATAGTTTGACATGTTCCTGGAAATCCTCAATCAGTAGATGGTTCCGACGAAAGTCGTTTTAGCCAATCACAACCAGTTGCCGTATAATCAAAGAGACCCCAATGATTACATTTGTCACACAGATTGTACTGCCTGTAATCTAACCACATTTGTAAATCTCAACTAACCCCGCCGAGAGAGAGAGAGTCTCGAGGGCTGTTCTTTGAGATATTTTTTGTTACGCAAAGACCCTATGTTTGGTATTTCTGTCATTTGTTATTTAAAATACCGAAATGATTCTCAAACCGTTCCGTCTTTTTTTCCTGTTCAGCGACTGCATAGATATGGTGGGCTCAAATAAGTACGTTTTAGAAATGAAACATTGAACAGCTTGTATTTCTTGATTACATCAATTTTCGCCTTGCACTGTGAACTGTTCCTTTTATCATAATTTAACACGAATAGCTACAATTTGCTTGTCTTTGTATAAAGCCTACATGGTGTTCAATAACACAAGGATCAATAAAATTCAGACATTTAATAAAACTTCAGAATATTTTCATTCAGTTTTCGCGCAGGATGTGGATAACCTCTAGTGCTCAGGGTCAGTCTACTGACTCGTGTTTTGAGTTGTATAAAGCTTATGTGACAAAA